TTTAGTCTAGTCTACTCTTAATTGGTTTAGTGTGGACTTGGCAATGTTAGGTTAACAGTTGGACTGGATGATCTTAAAAGTCTTTTCCAACCTAAACAATTCTATGATTCTGTGATTGTTTCCCATTCAATAACAAGTTCTGTGACTCCTGTAGTTGCACTGCTTTCAACATGATCTCAGTGGGCGCAGTTCCTGGTGTAAGTATGATAAGCTGCTAAGTATGGCCTGAGCCAGTAAGGTCACCCTCAGTGGGTGAAAAGGCAGCTTTGGGACTTGCTGTCTAATGTGGTCAGTCTGGAATGGGAGAATCCATGTGTCTTTTGTGGCATTATTTTCTTGCTTTACCCAGAAAAATGAACATTTTCCCATACTGGTAAAAAACAAAACAAAACCAAAAAAACCCCACACAAACAGCAGAGAACCCCTGTTAAGGAAAAAAGTACAGAAAAGAGGAAGATAAGTGACGTAAACATTTATGACTACTTTGGCAACACAAAATCTTAAACACAAATTATAATTGAACTGATCAAATTTTACTGAAGAAGATTAAGGAAGCAAGTCTTTTGTACCTTTCCCATCTCCTTACCTTTAGCCAGAACTGAAAGGGGATAGAGTGGGATGCACAGTGAGAAGTTGAGCCATGTCAGTGGTAGGTAGTATATTCCCATCCTTGCTAACATGTTGTAAGTGTATCTGCAGCAAGAGGAATAGCAGGTGAGCTCAGAGGGAATGATCATGTCTTTATTTTAAAGATACATTACTGAAAAATCCAAGGGAATTGCAGAATAGCTTGGAGCTGCCTGTCTGAGAAAATTTCAGAGCAATACTGCAACAGTTTTGTTCAGGCTCTAATTGATGTCTGATTGTTTCAAAAGGGTTGTCTGCAGTGCAGAGCAGGCAGACAGCAATACAGCCCTCCAGCCCAAAGGCTCTATCACAAATCAGTATGATTTCATATTGGTCCATCAGAAAATGGATTTCAGATAGGGATGTTACAGCTTGAGAGGGGCAAACAGAATATGACTGTTGCTTGGGACTGAGAAAATGCTGATTTATGACTGCTGAACTAGCTAAACCACTGCTGGAGGAGGCTGATCAGCAAAGTAATCGCAGGTACTTAATCTTCTGTAGTATAGCTGCCCCTCCCCTGGACCTCAGAAGAAGTTGTAGGTGCAAAAAAAGCAATTGCGCTCCAATGTATTGCAGTGTTTTATTCTTACTGTGGCTGTTACTGTTGCCCACTGGGAGACCAGAGTGCCTAGGACTTCAGTCTGCAAAGGTGAGCTAATTCGAGCTACTTTGATCTAACAGTGGTACAGCAGCTTTCCAAACACCAGAGAAACAGGTCTGATCGCATTTTTGGTCAGCTGAAAGGCTTTTTGCCCTGTGGTCTTGCTAGAGATACGAAAATAAGGATTTTTAAGCCACTGTTAGCCAGGACTGTTTCTGACAGCATTAAACAAACTTACTGTATTCCCTTCTTATTAGTTCATTTGACTAATTCTGTATCATTCCTGGACTGTAGAATAGTTTGATAGGCTATAAATAGAATCATATCAAAGTCATAGAATCATAGAATGTACCATCTTCTCTCAAGTTTGCCCTCTGCAACCTCAGGATTGTCTCAAATTTTTATTATTATTGCTTTTATGGCATAATCTCAACCCAATACAAAAAGGAAACAGCTACTCCCTCTCTATACACCTTCTTGGACTGTTTATGGTATAAGCAGGAAAGATCAGATAAGAAAACCTTGCAGAATTTGCTAATTAGCCATAATGCACAGGATATTTATGTGTCTGAAGAACTAAGTGGAAGAACTTGTAATACTGCAAGGCTAGTGGGCTAAGGGATGGGATAGATTCCTGTACACTTTTAGACATGACCATTTCTTTGAGATGCTAGGACATGGCACAAATGCTGTAAAAAAAAAAAAAAGGGGGGGAGGGGGGGTAAGAATTCTAAATCTCTCTAAGTTGTACTATGCATTATTGTTTTAATTGGTCATGTGCTGCTATAGACCACAGTATCTTGCCTATTAAATGGCCACTGTTATTGCTATGATGCTGGACTGTGTTTTTTAGCAAAGATAGAAAATAATGATGCATTGATAGGACTATTATGCACTGCCAGGACTTGTATTGTTTACACTTTTGGCCTCTCTCCAGCTGCACAGAACCCTTTCATTTGAGATTTAAGTTCTACTATTTTAACTTTACAAGCTTCAAAAAGAAATGGGATGGAGCAATAATCCAAATAATTAATACAAGTAGTAGTTTATTAACACATGTAGCATAAATACTCTGAAGCTGACTTAAAGTCTTTCTTACTAATCTGTTGTGGTTTAACCCGGCAGGCAGCTAAACACCACACAGCCATTCCCCCACTTTCCCCTCCCCAGTGGGATGGCGGAGAGAATTGTAAAAAAAAAAAAAAAAGTAAAATTCGTGGCTTGAGATAGACAGTTTAATAGGACAGAAAAGGAAGGGAAAATAATAATAATACACAAAATAAGTGATGCACAATGCAATTGCTCACCACCCACTGCCCAATACCCAGCCAGTTCCCAAGCGGCGATCACTGACCCCCTGGCCAGCTCCCCCCAGCTTATATACTGAGCATGATGTCATATGGTCAGTTTGGGTCAGCTGTCCTGGCTGTGCCCCCTCCCAGCTTCTGCTGCAGCTGGCAGAGCATAGAAAGCTGAAAAAGTCCTTGACTAGTGTAATTGCTACTTAGACACAACTAAAACATCAGTGTGTTATCAACATTATTCTCAAACTAAATCCAAAACACAGGACTATGCCAGCTACTAGGAAGAAAATTAGCTCTATCCCAGCTGAAACCACGACATCATCCTACCTGACACTTTCCTTTTTCAGATCTCTTTTATAACATACATATCCTTTGCTGCCTAAATCCATATTCCCCAGCCAGTCCCCAAAGTAATGTATTTAAAATAGCAGGAAGCTATTTTAGCAGAAAGAAAAAAGATAAAGAAAAAAATTTTGCTCCCATACAGAGGTTGCCATGAGGGCTATGTCTTGTTAAAATGTTGCTTAATTCCATATGTCTTCCCTGCTCTAAGTCTACAGACTGAGGTCCATAGAAGCTTAAGTTACATTAGAGAAATGTTACTGACTTCAGATATCAATGCAAAAGTCAGTAATGTGGAATTTTCACTGCTATACTTTTACTACAGGGAGGTACTGGTAACCTTCCACCATACAAAATTTTTGAAATAAAAATCCTGAATTGTATTCCTATCCATTTTGCCTCATGCATGTTGTCCCTGTGGTGTGATATATGACCTACTACACCAAAATTCTCAGTCGCTACAGCAGGAGCTCTTGGTTTTTTGGAAAGCACAGTGCAATTAGCCCAGAATAGTCTTTCCATCTCGGTAAGAAGTTCTGCCAGTGCTGCCTTACTGTGCTGTCAATCTTGGATTGAAGTGAGATGTTAAAAATAAATAAATAAATAAATAAAAGCAATAGGGTTGTAAATGAGTTACAGAAATTGCTGTTCCCCAGGTGGTAGTTGTGATTTCCTTCTGAATTTTTGTTAGGTCAAATCTGTTGAACTAGAAATGTTAATGCAATGATTGAAATACTTCTGTAAGTCACTGCCTCTCAGCTATGCGTATTTTTGTAAAAATCAGTAACTAGCGTATAAAGTCCAAGCTTTTATTTAAAATGGGTAATATGCTTTTCCACCAATTTCAGAATAATTAAATGAGCCTGCAGCACAGTGGGAGTGGGTTTCTGCTCCTAAGCATGACCTGTTTTCCCCTCATGGTTTTGCTGTTGACTCCTTACCTGACGACATCTAATAAATTCCAAAGGAAAAATAAAACACAGACGACGTATTTCCCTTGAACTTCTTCCTGACTGTTGATCACAACAAATAAAACAATTATTCTCTCCGTGATCTGAAAAGAAAAAAGAATTGTGAATTCAGGTAGCACCTTCTATAGCTCTCATTTCTGTGCCATTTTGGTAAAATAGGAGGCCACAGGTGAATCCAGTTTGCTTTACACAAATGCTGCAGTGGATATTTCGCTTCATGGCCTGCTTTTGTTCAAGGCGCCATTGGCCTCCAGCTCGGGGAACTGGAAACTGTTGGCTGCAGCACCACAGATCTGCTGTGGTAAGGGTGGAAGTTTGCTTGCCGACGGGGATGGCTTGTGTTCATAGCCCAAGGAACCTGTGGATGAGCCGGCTGAGGTCGTGGGAGCAAGGACTTCTCCCACTGCGCCCCGGCACCTGGAGGGCCGGTGGGGGTCAGCTTCCTTGCTTGTAGGCTGCATGGGAGGCCCTGGGACTTGGGGGGCCCTTGGGGTGGGTAGTACGCCAGGCAGTGCTAATCTCACAGTCCCAGCTCTGCTTTCCATGGCTTGGAGATCTGCATCCCAAGGGATCTCTCTCATGTGAGATTTGCAGAAAGGAGGAGGAAAAGTAGAACTCCTCATTTTTCTTTCCTTCTTATTCCTGGCTAGGAGAGGTGGGTTTAAGCTTGTCATTTACGTGAATTATTCCCATAATATTTATGTCATAACATTTTTCTAGTGGTTGAACCTTATCTGACTCACAAGGTATGCCTTTACAAATGAAAAGATACTAAATTGGATTAAACAGGCAGTGTCCCCAGCTTAAAAAAAATACTTTGGCAATATTAAAGAAAATTAAAAATAAAGGTGTCTTTTTGCAGCTTTCTTGGACAAGTTTCCTATCAGCATCTATGCCCTGCCCTGTAAAATAAATGTATCTGTAATATTCAGTACTGCCAACAGTTGCTTATGAAACTATCCCAGAATGGTACCAGTTCACTCTGATTTACACTCTATTTGAAAGTGCTGAAGACAAAAACATGCATCTATTCAGTTGGTATGAATCAGTATAGCTTCACTGTTTGTTTGTTTGTTTGTTTGTTATACCCACTGCCATCTCTTCCATAAGGTACCTTAGGTTTAATGATTTTATGGCTTAAGATGTCAAGTCAGTGAAAAGTCATGAAATGAAAATGGATTAACAGGGTGGTTTTTATAAGTGCAGTCATTCTTCTTCACTGGTTTCCCCCTTCCCCTTACTCCTACCTTAAACAAAATAAGAAATTGGCCTCTCAGCAGGTTTGTGTGGTAGCTTTGCTACGTAGTGTTTACCAGTTCCTGCACAGAACATTTTGGCTACTGACTTTTTTTGCAAACCACATCTGTCAGATAAAGCAGCCATCACTTCACTATTCAGGAAAATTACATGAGAGCAATTTTTCATATAGAAGGAGAGCATGTCCCTCCCCTAGGGATCTGGTTCCTCATCTTGAGAAGCACTGAGGGCCCACAACAGATAAAAATGGTTTTGCTGCCTCTCACCCTGCCCTGACTGTCATCTTGTGCTGCTGATCCCATTGGTCCCTAACTGAGGAACTGATTTCTAAGAAGGTCAGATGTTGACAGACTTCTGTATAGACGGGCTAGGAAGCAGAGAGTGAGAGGTAATAGGTCCTGTGTTTCTACACTGATGCTGAGGAACCTGGCAAGAAAATGGGGGAACTGAAGCATTGATGTAGGATCTGAAACCAGGTACAACAGAGATAGGAGAAGCATGGTGGGACAACCATCGCAAGAGGGAAATCAAAACAAAGGTAAAAGCAGTGTGAGCATTGAGCGGGATTGTGTGCTGGAGAGAAGAAATAACATAGAACCTGAGTTAAAATAATTTTGGTGAAGGGTGGTGAAGGAGTGCAGCATTGGTAGTGTGGGCATTTTGTTACCAACCCTAAAATCAGACAGATGTGGAGAGAGAGTTCTGCAATATTGTTAATATAAGAGATATTTCAGGGAACTGCCCCAGGGAATTGTCTCACCTAGAGACCAAAGCTTTATCATGATAAGGTGGACATGTTTTTAGAGCTGAGAGCTGGCAGGTTTTCCAAACAGTCACTTGCCCTTCAAGAGGTGGATGGGTGGAAAAGTGCTACAAAACAGCATGGGTCAAGTGATCAGGAGCTGGTCCTGTTTCAGGAACATAAAAGGATAAGCAGCAGACAGGTAGTTACCATCCCCAGTTTCAAAAGGATGAGCACTGCCCAACGAGACAGAGTGGCTATGGGGACCCACAATTCAGCCTCATGGGCTGGGAGGGGAAGAGGCTGTGGATTTCCTTCTCTCCCCAGGGCACAAGCAGATGGACAAGAGGCAGTGAGTATCACCTAGCTGGGGATGAACAGATCTCCTCCATCGGAGCATTCATGTTTGGGAAGGGGAGCACTGGAGGCACTCAGCCTTGCTAGTTGCAGATGATGGAAGTCAGTAAGCAGACTGTGTAAAGCAGGCTAAGCACCTGAAACAGCAGGCAACTGGGCCTGACATGAAGCAGGTCCCCTGAAGGTCTTCTGTTCCTGTCAGACTGCAGTCTCAGCCAGCAAACAACGGGATGCACAAAGCAGCCATCACAGGCCAGAACTGAAAACCACCTCTGGCCTTGCTCTGGAGCACATCTGTGGGGCGGGACACAGGCCTGGCTGCTCAGGGCAATTGCCACGTCCTCATGAGGACAGACAGTGGCAGCCTACCTCTTCTCTGTGTAAATCAGGAGGTTGCCCGCCTGCTTGCCTTTATTCCCCTTCAAGACATTATGCTCTCTTCTTTCATAGCACTCATACCTTTAGGTAACCCACACAAACTGAAGGTAGAGGCAGGGGTTAGTCAAAGGCTGTGGGCTTTTTCAGCAATAGGCAAGCCAGGGTGCTACTTGAAGAGGAGAATATTCAAGTAAATGTCTGTTGATCATGTGCCCCTATACACACACATCTGTATACATATATACATGGAATCATGTACATGTATACACATGTCTATACCCGTGTAAATATACACGCATACATGTACGCATATGTATATGTGTGTGTATACACACATACATATATACACATACATACAAAAACCGTGCAGCTGCTCAGCCACAGCTCATTTCTTCTATGGATCATTTGTCCTTGCAAGAATGAAAATATGGTATTTTCTGTTGCTAGTCTCTTGCTTGTTAAAAAAGAAAAGAAAAAAAAAAAAGCAAAACTAGAAGTCCTGTGTTTTCATGTTCATAAAAAGGAAGAACGTGCTGACACCTCACAAAGCGTAAATACAATGCTTTCATTTTTCATTCCTTCTTGTTCTTTGTGTTAAAATCAAACTGGAATTTCCTTCCTTTCCAAGGACTGGTGTCTCACAGGATGCAGCAAGTTCTGCATAAGGGCATAAATTTCCGCAAGGCAGCCTGGGCATTTGAAGCAAGTAAGTGAAACACAGCAAATTAGACTAGCTGAGGTTAGGGCAGGAGCAGGCAGCATATTCACTTCCATTTTTTAGTAACAGTGACTGTGCAGTATCGTACTTGGTACCTGAAACCCTTACATAGCTTTTTGATTTAGTGAATGTTAAAAAAAAAAAGTAGTAAGAAAAGCGCTACTGAATATTTAGATTAAGTTAAAAATTAATGTTTTTATCACAAAGCCGTAGTACGTTGCTTTTGGTCTGGTAAATCCAATCGTGTTTGCACAGGATGAAGAACTGGTGTTTTGTTCACAAAAATGCAAGTCTTTTCTTACACCTTTCCTACTCTCTCCCTTGCTAAAGTACCAGTCCTCTCAGCCTTTGGTCCCTGACCAGACTACTAAATGTCATTATCCTCTGTTTTGGCAACTGCAATGACATGTGACACATTCTCTTGTCCTCCTCTCAATCATTCAAGCTGCAAATGCCCCAAGAAACATCCCTTTGCAACAAATTTGTGACCCTCCCTTGTCTTCCCTTCCTCCAGAGCACCCATCATGCAGGACGTGTCTGTCTTTCCTGGTATGACTCGGCCTTGGCCTACCTAACCCTTCTCAGGTGCCTGGTAGCCTGACACTTTGTCCCTCAATGAGGCCACCCTGAAAAGGTTTTACCAGAAACACCTCTGAGTTTGCTTTTCCAGTATCTGTAACGTGTATCTCAAAGTGTTCCTTGTAAATGCTGCTAAACCACGATAAATGGGATATTAGGCAGAAATCCTTCCTTCAAACTCTGCTTAAATCTTGTATCTGCAAAACAACCAACCACCACAGGGGTGCTTTCACAGTTTGTTTTATTGAGGGTGGTGTCACCTCCACCCATGTGCTTCCCTGACATTGCCATAGCCACCTGTTCTCTCATCCTAGAGATCACCTGGGATGAACTCCACAGTGGATATGCATGCCTGTGCATGACCTGAAGGATGCGTCTAGGGGTATGTTTTAAGCTTAGAGTCAGAACAGGTGGTGGGAACGCAGAACAGGGCAGCCACTAGCAAATTCTCGCAGCTTTACCAGTGCCTTATGTGCAGTAGCCCAGTAGGCTGCAGTAAGCTAAGCATCTCCAACTGTCCTTCCCCAGTTCATTGTGGAAAATACATCTTTCTTCTTTTCCTAAGAGGCAGGGAGGATAGTGTGGCAAGGCACATGGGAGTGCTGTTGGCACACAACTGCATAACCTGCACTCTCACAGCAAAAGCAGGGCAAATCAAGTGCAAGCAGAGTCTACAACAAAGAGCCTGTACACCTTGGTCGGACAGCATGAGACTACTGCTAACATCAAGGCAAGAGAGTTGTATTTGTGGTGAGAGAACACCTGGGGAAAGAACCAAGTAAGGATCCAAAGCTATCTTTGTTGTGAAGCAAATGTTTGGAGTCACAGGCTGTATCATTCCCTGACCCACCTTCCCCATGCTGCCTTGGAGAGCACTGCAGTAATTGCTCTGCACAAGAAAGGTCACAGTTTTCTTGCTCAGAATATCCATTTCATATCTAGTGTCTCTTGTGGCAACACAGAGCAGTGCAGGCTTCCCCAATCTCTGCTTCTGTACAGCTGGGTAGGAAGGGAACGACTATGTCAGGGCTGGGGAATGTGCAAACTCTGCCAGAACAAGTGTTGCTTTAATGACTATTAACATTAGCAGGCTGCTCTTCTCTCCAAGAGATGATGTAAGATTTGTTACAGGACACATTAGATAGGATACTTCCTCCCCTTCCCCCACAGATTAGCGTAAAAGCATGCAGATTTAGGCAGGGAGAAACAGTTAATTGCATTTTGACAAATTTGCTACTATACTTAGTGAGCAGCATAAAGAACAGAGATCTGTATTAGTCAATCAATTTCTAATGGAGATTTAAAAAGAGGAACATCTTCACCCATGCAGTATGTAATTTGACAAAAATGGGCTATCCAGAAAACTAAAAACGTAACTAACTACTCTTACTCTTCTACCTTCTGACTGCTGAGAGCAATACCAGTTTCACCATTATTCAAATACTAAGCATTGGAAAGGTTTGAAAGTAAACTCAAGTCAACATTTTTACTTTTCCAATGCATTAAGAAAAATACCAAAACCTGAGATTAACTCCCAACAGAAAACAAGAGTGTGGTGAGGAAGATGTCAGAGAATCATCTTGTTTCCTGCTATAGCATGTGCTCTTTTGGCGGGTTTTCTGCCTACAGCTGAACATATGCCCTGTAAACCCCTTAACAGTGTCTGAACCTCTGGATGTTACCACAATTTGCCTGTGTCTGGGTTTGA